TCTAATAAATTATATTCAGTAGCGATTTTAATTGAATATTTTGATTATTTATTTATTTTTTCAAATTAAAACTGAACTTTATTGACTGTGTCCTTTTCCAGACTTTTTATTAATTTATTGTAATTAATTATTTGCATGCAATTAAAAACTAATTTTAAACGATGCCAAAGAAGGATAACTTCTCACGCGCCTACATAAGTACACGCACCCATTTTTTTTATAATAATGATTGATTTCGTATGTGCAAAAACAGCAAAAATAAAAAAAGTGTCATTCCGCTATCTGATACTGTGAGTATTGTGTGTCGGGAACAAGTGTGAGTGAATAGTGAGAATGTGACAAATGTTAGGGGTATCGAGCGCAGTAAAAACGACGTCAGAGGGTAGACCGGTATGTGTGCCAATAACATTTACCCGCAATTACTTCAGTTACTTCGTGATCATGGCGCTTGCAACAGTGCCGAAATATCGGAGACTCATAAAAAACAAGGTACTTGGTAGTGTCCGACCGAAATTTCGGTTTCGGTTTCGGTTTCGGCCAGTTTCGGCCAAAAAATCAAGTTTCGGCCCGAGTTTCGGTTTCGGCCAAAAACGGCCGAACCTTTCGGCCACGCCGAAACTTACAACATCGTACCTTCGGGTCGCGCTCGGCTAACGTCGGGCGCGCTCGGCACGGCTGGCAATATGACGTCGATCGCCTGACTCCGCCGGCAACTACCTAAATCAGTGCGCTTTGCTCGTGTAGACGTTATATTATTTTTAATTAGATAATTTGTTATAAAAAATAAAAAGCATAAGTATAGATTTGTTACTATAAAAGGTTAAAGGCTAAAATGATTACCAAAGGTGATCAATTTGATTATTTTGATTATCTAAATACCTATACTTGAATTAGCCATTCGAGGCTAACTGATTGTGATATTTGTGAGTATAATTAAAATGTAAGTAACTGAAAATAAATAAACATATATGAGCATCATATTTTAAGGAGATTGTTCAAATTAGCCCAAATGTACAAACAATATTGTTTTAAAGTCATTAGATTTTAACGGACACTTTTGTATAATATATTCATTTTAAAAAGGACTTTTAATTTTACCGGTTTGGAAAACATACGAATAATTTTTAATGGCTATGGGTGTAGTAACATTCAGCCAAAGACAGATCGAAGTTGTTTATATAACATCAAAACAAATATATTTTGTAAAGATGGATAAAATAATTTTTTTTTTATTACACTGTGGTATTAATATCCACAATTATATTATCATTTTCTCTACATGAAAATGTGCTAAGACAATTATTATAGATGGTAAGCGACATCATAAAGTCTATTGCCATACATTTTTGCCAAACACCTCCATAAACACATTATAAGGTGTGATACACCAAAAATCTAAAATATGGTTATAATATAAACATAACAAAAATAATGACGCAACTGAAGATGTAGCTGTAACCTAAATCTCTTAGCTTTCTTTGGTTAACGAGAGTTTAAAAATTCTCTCTAATCTGTGGCTCATTCACAATCATCACACAGTTTCTGTCACAGAGTTATTATAACCGGATATGCATAGATGATACCTGATTTTAAAAGTAACTCTTGTGCATTAACTAAAAACAGGCAACTATCTTTTAATCTACATGCTTTATGTACCTGAATCTAATACATAATTTCTGTACTTGGCTTGATTTCCCTAGCTTACTATATAACTTATTTGTTTTTTATTATTTTAATCAAAATCCTCAAAATCATTTAGTGTATATGGTTTGTAGAAGTTCTCGGGGGTGGCCGTCAATAATATTCGTTGCTACAGTAATTTATATATAATTTCGAATCTAGGAAACATTTTTTTATGATTATTGGTCTTTAGGCCAAACATGTATGGAAGCTGAGCAATCTCCTTTGTTTTATTTTATACCACCATCAAAAAATCGCTAACTTTGTGTTACAAGTAATGTATTTTTTTCACTTTATAGGGTAGTTAAATTTTCAAACAGAACCTTTGTAACTGTGCTGAAATTTCATTGTGATAAATCTTTGAAAGTAGAAACCTGTAATTATAGCTCGGCGAGACATTAATTTTAGAAAAAAAACGGGCTTACTAACATTTTTTCGACTTTTTTTTTATAAAAGGTTCGGTTTCGGTTTCGGTTTCGGCCGAAACTACAATGAAACCGAACCTTCGGTTTCGGTTTCGGTTTCGGCAAAATAACATGTTTCGGTCGGTCACTAGTACTTGGTAACAATCCGTTAATAGCTATAATTATTTTTTAAATAAAATATTACTGGCCGATACTTATTTTTTTTTTATTTAAAACTTATTGAAAACCGATAAATATTCTAATATATGGCTGGTGCAAATAAAAATTTGAAGAAAGAATGCAAATGAAGATTTTGGGTATCTTTAGCCAGAGGACGCCACCTGCGGGAAATCAACAGAACTTCAATGTTTGCGGGACGATCGCTGCGGTTTTGTAATAACTTTTCTATCCAAAATAGATCCGAAAATACTGGCCTCCGTCAATATACATATACACGACACGCCACAGTCGTATGCACACTCACCGTCACGACAGTGAGTGCCATGACACACCACGACACGTTAATATGTTTCTGGCTGAATACGGAAAAACCTTCAAAACATGGTAAAACCCATAGTAGAACCGAAGTTTTTATGAAACTAAAATAGATTTGTTGTCGCAGTTCGCGCGCTTCTATAATTGAACGTGCTAGTAATAAGCTTACATATTGGTGGCGATTCTGGCATAATCTCTCTTTTTACTCAAAAACTTATAGCTAACATCTCTTTTTCATTTTGTATAAAGAATGGCAAGGATGCACTGTTGTCAAATTTAAGTTTAGGTACAGAGAATCATGCCAGAACCGACACCAATGAGTACTATTCATAGACTGTGCAACTAGTGAGTACTATTACAAATAAAAGGAGTCGGTTTAATAATGTGATAATGGTGCCGATTCTGACGTGATTCTCTAAACTTAAAACTAAATTTAACATCAGTCTCTCCTTTTCATTCTGTATAGAGAATGACAAGGATATACTGCTGTCAAATTTAAGTTTAGGATTAGAGAATCATGCTAGAATCGACACCAATGGTTTTTCGGCAGTAGCGAAACATATAGGTAGCATTTGAAAGCTGGTTTTATAATATAACATGAAGAAATACTTTGAATTTTTAGTTATATGCGATTAAATTTAAATCCTGTTTATTATAACAATTTCGTTAGGAAGCTAGCCACTTTGGACATAACCTTAAGGCTACCATTCACAGGCGCGCCCATCCGCCGGATTTGTCGCTGGCGACAAGTCCGCGGACAAATCCGCGTGTGAATGTATTGGTGAGCGCGGCTCGCGGCTCGGCGCGGCGCTCGCCGTCAAGAGACGCGAGCGCCGCGCCGTACCCCAGCCACGCCGTACAAATCCGTACGTGTGTGTGCTTTCACAGATTTATCGGTGAACTTGTCAGTCATTTGTAGTGCGTGCACGCAGAACCACCTCTTAACTTGTTAATTCTGTATCACGTCTATATCACTTTTTTGACGTTTATGCGATAGTGTTTTAAGTCAAAAAGTTGAACATAATACGCATTTAAGTTGATATCAAGTTAATATCATTTTAAAGAGTTGATCATAATACGCTTAATTTGATGTCATTTTGATATCGCATTTTTCGGAGAGCATAATGCGTAATGTGAAATTGACATCAAAACAATATCACAATTAGCGAGCATAATTGGCCTGCAGCGGGTCAATTATGCTTCAGTAATAAAATTCTAATGTGATGTCAATATGATGTTGATGCCAAGTTGACATTGTTTTTAGATGGTATTATGAAACATTCCTATGTCACATCAAGATCATATCAATATTATATCCTGTATCACATTTTTGACGTTTAAGCGATACTATTTTAAGTCAAAAAGTTGAACGTAATACGCATTTAAGTTGATATCATTTTATAGAGTTTATTTATATTATTAATAAGTAACATGGCAAATATTAAACTAAAACTACACTAAAACTATACAAATATTAAAAATTAAGCTGCCTTAGATCGTCCCCGTCGGCAAAGGTTCCCAGGACACTGGCGGCATTTCCCCGCTGAATCGCGAGCCTTATGCGCTGGGCGAAATAGCCGCCAGCTCTGCGGTCTCCAGTGGTCTCCACCAATCTTTTTGCGATTTCTTTGAAAAGATGGTGGGCACCGGAGCCCCAGGGTCCCTGAGTCTCGACTCCAAACGCCGCAAATGTGAGGTCTCCACTGAGGCAATCATACTTGCGGCGCTTAAGGGCCTCTGCGGTCGAAGCAGCCGCGCCAGCCTGCATCGAGGTTCCGGGAATATGAGACGGGGCCAGAGTGTCGACGCAGGTTGCGTCCCACACAAGTGCCCGTCCCAGCTTCCAAGGAACGAGTGTCATGCCGTCGGGCCTCTTACCGTCGTCGCGCGCCAGGCCGCTTTATAGAGTTGATCATCATCATAGCATAAGTTGATGTCATTTTGATATCGCATTTTTCGGAGAGCATAATACGTAATGTGAAATAGACATCAAAACAATATCACAAATAGCGAGCATAATTGGCCTGCAGTTGTATTGTTTGTATCACGAACGAGTAAACGAGTATAATAACATGTCGTTCGGCGACCATAAAGTGTTTTGGCAAGAATTTATCCTGCTGTTTAAAGAGAAAACTAAAGAGAAACAGGTGGTTTACAGGACTGAATGCATTGCAGCAATTTTAAATGCGTATATATTGTTCGTTGTTTCAGCCATTCCTTTGTCCAGACGCGCTTTTTCTTTTTTTTGGAAAGCACCGGTGGCATGGTAGGGTAGGGAAGAACGATACGCGCGAGGCTCACCAAAGTACACAAGCGCCTGGACTGCAACTCGGCGCTCGTGTAGTGTGTGGGCAATGACGGATTTGTCCACGGATGGGTACGGCTCGGGGTTCGGCTCGCGGTGCGTGTAGTGAATGGTGGGCTTTAGTAATCTGTGGGTGTATCAATGTCAAATTGTCATGTCAATGTCAATGATTAATTTTGTGCTGTTTTGATCTGTGAAATCCAGTGATTTGTTTTGTATTTCGAATATTTTAAATATTTTCGTTTTATTTGGGCTTGTAGTGATGATTTTTTTAATAAAATTGCTGGAAACTTGATTGCGGAAGTCAACATGAATATCCCACCGTTTCCTTCACAGGACTTAGCTAAGCTTGTACTCGGTACGTTTATTGTTTGGCGGGAACCTTGTTTCATAATGGAACGAGCATTTCTGTTATAAATTTAATTCGATGCTGCCTTTGTTTACTTCAGGATATCTAGCTGAAGAACAGCTAATGACAGCATATGATGAATTTCTTCAAGCAAGTCCTTACTTGGATGCCTATGGGAATGAATATGACAGAATATTCATGACGTCTCTAAAAAACATCCTTGCTGAATACAGGGCTGTAAAAATTTATGGTTGGTAATTAGTATATTTCAGTTTAAGTTGTTATTCTCATTAGTTTAAATATTAATTGATTTGATATATTTTTAATCAAGTTTGTAGTGGAGGCCTATACTTTACCTTCATTGCTTGAATGTATTATATTGAAAACACATGTAATAAACATTCATCTTTGAACTGTTACATAAATAAATAGAATATGCAGACTTAATTGTATGGTCTACATTAAATCCATTAAACAGAAACATTGAAGAACCACATCAAAATTTAGTTATTGTGCACATTTGTTTTATTTCAGTGGAAACCTGTAAGCCATTCCAACTCAGAAGGAAATTATTTCAGTGTTCGAACTTGTTAGAAATGGTAAAATATCTCATACTACATGTAGACATAACAAAAATACAGCCACAAGATCAGAGTCAAAGGTATGTTATGGTATTGTCAATAATAACTGTAAATGTGCTTCTATTTTTACAATACAGCAATATGAAACTTAAGCAATATATTTAAGTTTAGGTAGTTGATTGAAAGGATATATTTTGCTGCAATTTATTGATAAGATGCTTACTTTTATTTTCAAGCATTGAAAAACAAAACATCAATAACACAGACAGCTGTGAGGTATGCAAGTCATCAAAATTGGAAAACTGTACTTGTTATAACAAAAACACTAAAATATCAAATGATTCTTCTAGTGATGACTGTGAAGTTATTGCTTTGGATAGTGCAGTTGAAGCTACAGCTTTATCTGATTTACCAGGTATGATAATTCTGAACATTATAAAATCAAATGCCTTACCTTCAAATAAGACTGAAATGTCTGGAAGTGCATGTTTGTTATGAACCTTCATCAACATGTTTGCTTCTTTTTATTTACAATAAATCACCTTCTCCTGATTGCAAGCTATGGTAAATGGTATGGTGGTCATAGCTTATAGATGGTTACGAGACCAAGTAATATTTTTAATTAATTATAAGTCATAGCTCAAGAACATATAGCATTTGTAGAAAGATTATAAATGTTGAGGAAATGAATGATAATGATGATGAAATAAATGATTGTGTTTGATTTTTGTAATTTACTGATGTTTTAGGTCATCATTTCACAAGGAAGAAAACTGTGTTCGATGGAAATGCAGTTGAATCAAAAATTTCTAGTAACTCTAATTCAAAATTACTAACTTCAGATGTTGCTTCAGAAAAATCTATGTCTAGCAATACTGTATCAAATATGGCAATAAGTAGGACATCTGAAAACAAAGGAACACAGCTAGACAATGCTTTAGTAAGTATATAGAATAGTTGTGATTCCTCTATCTCATAGAATTTTGTAGATCTAAAATTCATTTGGCATAATCTTCTTTAAACAAATATTTTCAAGTGTAATGGTCAGTACATCCACCTGGATAGCAGAAGGCGTGGGTTCACTATAAATATTCTTTATAGTAATATAAAGTTTTTTTTTATAATGTTAGTGACAGTTTAAAACAATTATAAAATTTTCTCTAGATTGAAAAATATTTTCAAGTCATATTTTTAACCGACACTAAAATGATCACTTAAAACACAATTGGTAAGCTAAAGGTTAGGTAAGGCTACCAATTTTTTTGAGGATTATTTAGATATGTGCCAAAACAAATTTAAGCAGATTAAAATGTTGCCAAAGCTAGGTATATTACCCTAGCGTAACAATTTCATAAGTCCATATCCTAAGGTATATAAAGGTATAGTATTTTGTTGCTAATTTGTTGCTATTTTGTGCCGCAAGAATTAATTTTGTTGCTCCAAGATTTCTCTGAAAAACGGCTGTTACGCTAGTGAAACCACAGCGATATCTCAGAGGCAAAAGCAGTTAGATATCAGATGAACGGCATATTTTGTTGCTATTTTGTTGCTGTAAGATAAGCTGGTTAGATATGAAAAAATATAAGCCCTTCATGGGGGGCTAACTACCCTTTTTCTTAGATATCTCAGATTTTTCGTATCTCGTGAGCTAAAGCAGCTAGCGACCCGAGACCATCGGCGTATTTTGTTAGATTAGATTTAGATAGGCATGCTGCGTACATCATAATCACAACCCTTATCCGGGTATGACCAACCCCCGACCCCAAGACACCAGATATTTCGTATCTCGTGAGCTAAAGCAGCTAGCGACCCGAGACCAACGGCGTATTTTGTTGCTATTTTGTTGCTATTAGATAGGCATGCTGCGTACATCATAATCACAACCCTTATCGGGGTATGACCAACCCCCGACCCCGAAGACACCAGATATTTCGTATCTCGTGAGCTAAAGCAGCTAGCGGCTAGCGACCCGAGACCAACGGCGTAATTTTGTTGCCCCCCGAAAAACGCCTGTTACGCTAGCGTAACAAATCAATTCTTGCGGCACAAAATAGCAACAAATTAGCAACGAAATACTATATACCTTAGGATATGGACTTATGAAATTGTTACGCTAGGGTAATATACCTGCCAAAGCTAGTTATGCCTAGTTGAATTTTACTAAGTTTAAAGGATAGTAGAATTTTACAAGGCATAACTAGCTTTGGCAACATTTTAATCTGCTTAAATTTGTTAAGAACAACTTTAGATACAGTATTTGTGGCCTGTTGGTTAGGTTAGTGTGGTGACCAAAACATATTCCAGCATATATTGATAAAGGTACATGCATTTATTTGAATCAATTAAATCAATTTCAAGATAACTATTTGTAGAGATTTGGGGGATAGAACACTTATTTTGTCTCAGCCTTTAAACTGTAAAGATACGCAGTGTCATAGATAACAAACAGATTGCAGTCTAATTATGGCAAAAACCAAATTGGAATCAGAGTGCTAGATAATAAGTGTTATTGTTGATTCAAATTACTAAATCCCAGAGTATGTAGAGATTTTTCATCTATTTTACATAACACTGCAAAATCTCTTTGAAATCTCCTGAAGACAAATAAAATTGTTCTTATCGAATTCAGCAGTGACGAGGATTCACATAGTAAGGATAAATATTTTTGTTAACTTTAAATTTAAAAATTGTAAATGTTAAAGCCCTTTAAACTTCCATTTGGATTGCAAGTCCCAGGCGTACTTTGATGTTTATCCCAGATCGAGATTATAGAAATTCCATGGATTGCTAAGTAGTAGAAAAGATTATCATTGATTTTGTAATAATCTTTTCTTCGAATAAAGTATCTCACAAAAGTCCATGTCATTGCATAGTCAATAGTTTCTTTAGTTAACCTGGTTATTATAAACAAAGGCCAGAGTTTTGTTCATTTAGCCTCCAATGTGCTAGGTGATGAAAAAAGGATTGCTCTCATGTTTTCAGATAACACACACAGATTCATTGCAGTTAAAGGAGAAAGAGGAATTTAATCACATCCTAAATCAAGTTTGTCACATCAATCAAAGTTTCTCAACAAATACAAAAGTTACTAATCATGACTTGATGGAAGGGTATAAACATTTTGCGACTGGAGTCAGTGGTTAGTGTTTTTTCACAGAAATAATGATTATATTATAAAAGTCTTGTTACACATCAGAATGAGATAAAAAAAATGAGAGTTTTTCACATGGTGTATAGAAAAGTGTCTGTTATGTTTACATAGATTCATGTACACCTGCAGTATACAAACAAATTGTTAAAAGTACAGGCCTCATCTCAAAAACCAATTCTGCACTCCTTCCACTTTAATATCCCCCCTGCATGGGGTCATAGAAGAGTATCACTATCATCATCGACCCATTAATGTCCCCACTGCTGATGCACAGGCTCTGACATGCGGCTCCCTTGTGTGTGGTGCCAACGACTGCAGATGCAAATGGGGCCAATGGCTTAATGTGCCTTTCGAAGTTTTTGATCACCAATCCAAATTTTGATGACTAACTATTGCGAAAGTTCCTAACCACCTGCGCTATCGAGCTCCTCCAGAGTTCCGTAGAAGAGTACAACTGTATTATTTATTTCCTCCCTTTTTTGGTAAAAACTTTGGGTAGGTTAGAGAGTAGGGCAAATATTCAATACCTGATAAAGTATATCGGCATATATTTTCAGGTGGTAACAGTGAAGCTGTTCCAGATTCCAGCACAGAACAAGTATATCTTCGGTAAGCTTAGAATAAAATAAATATTTCCAACACTCACACCAATTAGCCTAGCCCCAAACTAAGCACTGTAGGCTTGTGTTAGGGGATACTAGGGTAATGGATAGAATACATATACTGATACATATAATATAAGTATATTTATAAAGAAATACATATTGTTTTAAGTATGTATTCATTTAATTATTTTTAATTCAATTTCCATTTAATTTGACATATGTGTTTTTTTAAACGTATTGTTTTATTGCTATTATTATTTATTTTTATATAATTGTTGTATTGTTTTTTTTTAATTTTGATATGAATCTCGTGTCTGAAATAAATGCTTTTATTATTATTATGATATTAAACATCTATGACTGGAGTTCAAATGCTCTTATTCATCACACAAACATCTGCCCCCACCGGGATTTGAACCGGTGACTTCTGGAGAAGGCGACACCATGAAACCCGGCGTACAAACCACTCGACCACTGAGGTCGTAAGAAATAAGCTTAGAGACGTCAATTAAATTTAACGCTTCATTAAGTCACATATCTTTTTCTTTTATTGTTATTGAAAAGAAATTGATAAATGAATATTAATCAAATTTAAAAGTTATTTATCAACATCTAAAATATATCTTAACAACAAAAATTTTACTAATATCTATGCGCTTACGTTGATATTTTGTTACTCGTTATTTCAGAGTACCTGTTAGTCTAGAAAGCAGCATCATCTCTAATACAGGAAAGCTTAACAAAACGAAACAAACCAGAACCCAGTATTTACTAAAAGTGGCTCATGTTAACAATACCATTAAACCAAATGAAGTGGTTACTATAACTACTAAAAACAGTACTATTTTGCCTCATCTAAAACCTAAAATGGACGAGTCCAAAGTTAAGATTTTGTCAGATGTTAAGGTGGACAATAATGAAGGGATTATGAAAATGCCTCCAGTACTAAAAAATGCTACTTCTACTCCTTTATTACAAATGCAGACTATTGTTATAAATGGAACTCAAGTGTTTAGACAGAAACCAGCTGAAAAGAAATTAAACTTCACCAAAGATGAAATCATGGCTATGCCAACAATTATCCTTGCACCTGCATCAGGTAAAGTAATAGCTTTGAGGGTCTTTGAATACAATTCCCAAATATTAATCAAATCAATTTTTAAATAAATAAAAGTACTACAATATTGTATTTATTATTTGTTTTACGTTTCCAGGTCCGCCACAGAACATTTGCTCAGTTTCCTGCGAAAGCAGTAACTTTTCAAGTAATACAAATACAAATATAACAAGTTCAGCGCGATCTCTATGCCCAATAACAATTGATGTTGATGCAGATACTCCTGAGAAAGTTAACAAAGATGCTAACAAAGCAATCGAAGTAGTTAAAGACCCAATTGAAAAAGTGATCTTAGACAGTAATGTGCCTAAAACATTCGATATCACAAGTGCATCAGCACCAAAAGATAATTCAGTAACTGGAACATCAGAAACGAGCACCCCTCAAATGTTGCCGCCTATAAGAAAATCTTCCTCTACTCCTCGCCGAACGTCTCACGTCCGTGTTTTAGATTTTGCAACACCAAGAAGAATATTGCATGAGACTGCAAATAAATTTGCCACTACTGTAAGTGATACCGAAACAGTGTTAAGCGAAAATCACGAAAACAATAATCAAATGCCTATAATAACAAATCTAAATGAGAATAAAGGTGTTGACACTGAACTTTGTAATGATAATACAACAACGAAAAAAGTTTATGGCAAAAAAGGTAATTGGGATGCCGAGCTACGTGCCCTCGCAGTTATACCTGAATCAAGTGCAGAAATCTCTCATTCGCTTAATTCAACATCAAAATCAGTAAAAAAGAAAAAGACTTCTAAAAGTTCACTTGCTAAGAAAGAAAACGACAAGAAAAGTACAGAAAAACAAAGTAGCAAAAAACGTACAACGAAAAAATCTGAAAAAAAGAAAATTGAAACTGAACAAGCCGAAGATATATCAAAAAATACAGTTATTATTCCTGTGAAGCCGACAATCAACATTATTACGGGTACTGAACGACACTCAACTGGATCTGAGAATGATAAAAGTCATAACAAATCTAATAACGATAAAATGGACACCCCCGAACTAGAAAGAATGTCTCTACAGAACGAAATTGGTGCTAAGCTTAACATTTCTGATCTTTTAGAAACTCCTTACAAACAAGCCCTATATGATATACAAATGGAAACACCTAGATTCATGGGCCCTGATTTACCAGATGATCCTATGTCAGATATAAAGATTATGAACATACCCACACCAAAGTTTTTGAATTCACTCACTCCTTCATCTTACTGTTCTCGGCCTACAGATTATTCTAGTGGAGGATCTTATTATAAACCAGATGACCAAGATTATATGCGAGTCGCAGATGATTTTGTTTGTCCCGGTACTTCTTCGGTGAGCAAAGAGAATAAAAATTTAGATATATCAAATAGTACAGAAGTTGATACTAGTGATAATAACGATAAAAATGGCGATAAACCCTTACGACCTGTAAGGCAGTGTACGAAAAATGTGTCTTATTACAAACATGCAAATTTAAATATCAAGCAAACAAAGGAAACAGACAATAGAACAGATTCTCTGTGTAGTGACATATCAGATCATAGTTTTTGTGAAACAAGTATAGACAAGGAATCAAAATGTAATAAAGAAAATAAAAGTAAAACTACGAATAAATCTACTTCAAAATTAGTAACAAAGAAACGAAAAACTCCTATTAAAAAAGAAATTTCTAAATCTTTTATGAAAATAAAACCGCGACGACCAACGCCCACCAAAAAGGATGATGGTAGAAGAAAGAAGAAGACACCAGATAGCTGCACTGTCCAAGGACGAAAAAAGATTGCGAAAAAACACGAAGACGATGTTAAGGCCACACCATTGGTAGTGTCCGCTCCAACTAAATCACGTAGGAAATCTTCGACGCCTCGAAAACTCCAATGTACTAAATCATTCAATTCAGAAAGTTCTGGTCACGTTTCTCCGGAATTGTTGTCTAAAAGCAAAAAAGATTTACCTGAATCAAGTACAGTTACCGCCCATGATTCAGATACTGAACAGTTGCCTTTGCGATGGTCCGACGATGGATCTCAGGATGTGAAAGCAAAAGAACCTGAAACAAATACGATCAACGAAAGTGAAGATATCAATAAAATTCAAGAGTATTTAAAACATGTAACTAACAATGATGAATCAAAAGAAGGGTGTTTGCATATTGATTTAGTAAAAAGAGGCTTTGACTTGGAAACAGCCAAAATTATAGAACGCGAACTATTGGATACTTCGCCTCATGTTACGTCGAAAGTTCCCGTTGAGAGCAATGTTGTTGTTATTCCAGAAACTAAAGCTGAGCCTGTTGTTTGTGTGACTGACACTAAAAATGTTAATGTTGCCTTGGAAAAGACTTTGGAATCTGATTGTAGTAATAATTTACAAATAGTACAAGATGACGAGGAGGAAGAAGTCGATGAAGTCGAACTAACTGTCCATGATTGTAATGAACATACTACAAACTTCTTTTCTTACAATCACGACGATACGAAAAATATGCCACAAAAGGAATTACCAAAGTTAAAAGACAAATTTTCCATGGAAGTGTGTTTAGATGATGAGTTATCAATTAGATTGCGAGCTACACCATTCACTTCACTATTAGATCAAGAACCTGATGAAAATTTTCTCAACTATAATGAACAAGAAACTGAAATGGCGGTGCGTTCAATATCTAATGTGAGTAAATTGTACACACCTTCAAAAGAATCTATCAAAGCACAATGCTATGAGATTTTCGATTCGACATTAACCAGTTTAGATACACCTTTGAAAGCGAAAAGTCCAAAAGTAAGAGAAGAAGTGACAGTTACCGAAATAGTGTTAGAGGTAGAGAATATTGGCGCAAAGGAGAAATCTGATACAAAGAAGCGAAAAAGGGCACAGAGTGACAATATGCCAGATGAAAGTGAACCCAAGAAATCTAAACCCGGGGCGCAGTATCTACTCAATTCAGCTAATATTCAAAATATAGACATTGAATCTGTGTTAAGTAAATTACATGGTCCTTAACTTAAGGACTATTCATATTTTTGTTGTTCAACCAAAATGGCTTTATGTTTACGATATTCCTAATAGCCTGCGTAGACGAAGGACTTATCTCAGCGGACTATTTTGTCCGCTGAAATAGATGGCTTACAACTGTACCGAGTAACGCACACGACGGATTAAAGTACCGCGTACAAAAGTTCCCCAAACTTCTTAAAGACAACACCTGTGTTAAAATTCAGCTCTCTAGGTCAAAATTAAATATTTTATACTACTTAAATTGTTTCGAAAAATAAAAAATATCTAAATAAAAGAAAAAAATACAATTTAAAAAAAATACCGTGCTAAGGATCGACCCCAAGACAGTTATGGTTTGGCTATCCGTTTCTTATGGCAAAGTTACGGATACCTATCTTGTGTCAAATACTTAACTTCCGTTTCATCGAATCTCAAATCACAAGGGTGCTAAAGAAGTTTTCACTTCAAAAAATAGAACTCTTGTGACTAGGCGCAACAACACACACAGCGTATTTTAGTCCGCTTTGCGCGGTCGATCCGATTTGAGGAAATGGACCCATTATTTATTATCTTTTAAAATGTGACTCCAAAGTAATGAACATTTTCCAAATAAGTTATGACTTATAGGTCTTTGTTACCAGGTCATAAGTGCGTTTTTGTAAATTTTTGAGCTACATAATTAAATGTTCGCACATCGTGTGCGTTGAGTCCGTGACAAGTCCTCGGCGGACATTTTCTTCACCATTCAGGGACTTGTGTTGTCCTCCGCAGACTAAAGTCCTTCGTCTGCGCCAACATTATTACCTATCCTACTTATTGTGTTACAGTGCCAATTTTATAGTTAATGATTACTTTATTAATTACACGTTTGTATATAGTAAGTTTAGGTTTGTGACTGATGTTGATATTAATTTATGTTGTACTGGCCCTTTACATGGCTGTTCGTATTTGATATTTGTCATTTTGACAGCAGGTTATCCCTATCATGTTCTATAGGGATTGAAAAGAAGAGGCTGCTGCCAAGTTTACAAATAGCTAATACAAATAGTCATGCGAAGGCATTAGATTATGATATGGTCCGTTATCTCTTTCTATTAAATACATCACGAATTATTGTTAAATCAGTTATTTAACATGATTTTTAATCAAAGTACAAATCACAGAATATTGGAAGGTAGTTTTTATTTTCTGTTTTGTGATTTTTATATTAGTGTTGTTTTCATGAAGAAGAAGCAAGAAGGAGATGACTGTAATTTTAACAATTCATTAAGTAATAAGCACATTTTGTACAGTTAGTTTATAAAGATTTAAGTTTATATGTGTTGGACACATAAGTAATTATGTTCTTTGTAAGTAATTAGTATTTCGTATGTATAAGATTATGAATGACTAGGAAGTTATCTTTCATATTTCTATTTTTAATGATGTGCTAGACGCAGAAAATGTTATTTAAAAGGGTTCATTATAAAAGTACCTTTCATTTTCTTTTGTTTTACTTCAACTGTTTCTAAGAGGATTTTGCTTAAGGGCCTGCGCTGCGTTAAGCAGGAGCACGCACGGCGAACAGTGGTATTTTTACTTACAAATAATCGGAAGTTTTCAAAATAATTACAAGTGGCCAGTCTCTTATACGTAAAAACTTTTTTTCGCAAAACTTTTTGAGTGCCCTGGTATGTAACGATCTTATTAATTTCATGTTTTTACATTTTATTATTTATTTCATGTTTTGGAATATTGCTCGCACCTCTGGGATGGCTCCGCCAAGAACTTGCTCGATGCTTTGGATAGGTTACAGCGGCGCGCGATCCGCATCATAGGTGATGAGGAGGTGACTAAACACCTTGAGCCTCTTTAATTACGCCGTGACGTGGCGTCACTAAGCGCGTTCTATCGTCTGTACCACGGACCACGGCGAGTGTTCTGAGGAGTTATTCTTTCTTATCCCACCTTCCCCTTTCCTTCAGAGGACCACTCGCGCTGGCCTACGTTTTCACCGTCTAACTGTGGCCACAATTCCAACGCGTACAAAGATATTTGGTGACTCGTTTCTTTGTCGCACTATCCGTGAATGGAATGCTCTGCCCGCTCACGTGTTCCCTCTTACAACTTGGGATCCTTTAAAAGAGGCGTGAAGAAGCAACATGCAGGCCGGCAGGGTGAGGATGGCTGGTGGGGCAGGTAGAACTGCTGTATCAGCTATCTTCGCGTCTGGACTACACCTTCACTTAACATCAGGTGGGGTGGAGTCATTCGTCGGACTTATCTATAAAAAAAAAATTTCGAACAACATAAATGGCGAATAAGCACACTATAATATAGTATATTATAATCATAGTATTATTTTTATGATATAAAATTTCTTAATGATAATAAGAATAAAACAAATATTTAAAGTAATTTTCTTAATCCTATAAAAATTCTGCCTAAGGGCCGGTGTTTTTGAGTAAAAAATTATATTATACTTATAAGTCCAGGAAATGAAGCATTTTGGCTCGCAATTTTTTCGTCCACCATCGATTTACTTGAAATTTTCACAAAAGGTAGGGAACAGCTCAAGGATCATTTTATATATCATGCCGCTGTACGCTAGAGCCTTGGGGTGGTTTTTATTACATTTTAACTGTAGGAATCGACGGAAAAAGTAATTCTAAGAAAAAAATGTTATTTACGTTTTTATCGTAAAACTAATATTTTTGAGTTATTCAAAGGTGAAAGTACCTAATAGGTTTTTGACGTAAAAATCGACTGTTTTAAATTTTTTTTGCGAATAACTCTAAAAATATACATTTTATCAAAAAAGTTTACAGAGTCAAATTGTAGCTTTTAAAAAAACGAAAACAATGCGTTATTTATAATTTTCCTATGACAAAAATGAACTAAGATACAGCAAATTAATGCTTAGCTTTTTCGTCAAATGCATAAATTGGAAGATTTACAGCGAAATAACGAGAAAAATTTGAATTATTTGAAGAAAGCTCATAGAATCTTTTTTAAAGTATTTAATTAGAGCATTCAAACAAATAAAAAACAATGTCTCTAGCGTGAAAATTGACCGACTTATGATCAAAATAAGATCGGTAAATCTGTGAAAACAACCCCTAAAGTACCTCCTAATTAAAATTGATCGCTACCCTTCTGTAATTCTCTTTATATATGTACTATTAATATACCCACGAAGTTTGACCAATTTAAAGTGCTAAATTTTAGAAAAATTGGAGTTTAAAGAGCAAACCGTTATTTTTTCAATTTCGTGTTATTCACCATTTTCTTAAAAAAAACTCCCAAAATACTAAAGATACGAAAAAAACGATATAGTGCTAAATTGTAGCTTTTTAATGAAAAACAATCCCTTTGTGCATATTTTAATATTCGGCGAGACATAGCCGTTTAACACCTTTATTTACGATCGAACATCACCTTATTCAAGCGCTTTAAACTCTCCCCATTTAAAAATTAAGGGATCTTAAGTAATTTAATTCACATAGTCTGTTATGTTTAAAAAACCGATCAATTTTTTTTTCGAAAAAAAAAAATCAATGTTTTTAAGGGTAGTTTTTAACAAGGCAAGGGTAGGTTGAAAGGTTATGAAATTGTATCCCAACGCATGAAACAATAATTTTTTAACTAGTTTTACCCATATTTAGGTTTTTAATTTAATTTTATAAATTTTGATAATAATGGGTAGTAAAAAGAGGCACAATATAGAAAATGAACTAGAGGGTGAAATAAGCCTAATCCCAAATTTTTGTACAAATCGGTGCTGGACGAAAATATTGCGAGGTTTTACCATTTTTTAGCTTCATTTCCTGGACTATATAATTGTTTTGAACTTAAAAAGGTACACACTTTAATTACAGATTCGATAAATATTATGATTAATGCGCGTCTCTAATGACAGTTAAGAACAATAATATTTTTTTTCAATTGTAGAACTAATTACGAATTTACAATATGAAATTTCATGAACGCATAAACGTCAAAACGGCCGTTATATCGTGCCGTTATAGTTACACACTGTAGATGTCCAAAAGGTTAGCGAATAGGCCGGCTGGTCAGGTCTTGGAATCTCGGAGATCGAGTATTTGTAACTCGTGCAAAAATAGTGACTTGCGACTACGGGGTTGGTTGAATTGGAATAAAAACTCACCTTATTAATTATATGGTCACGCCTTTCTTTCATGGTTAATTCATATCCAATCAGAAAAGTAACAAAACAAACTTACTCTTATTTACGCAACGTAATTCACATAATTATAGCTGCTACTCGGGGCGGGCGGGGAGATGAATCCAAAAAATCAGGGCTCATAAATATCGGACGATCTAGAAAATAGAAATTTTAATCGAAATAATATGTCTCCACGTTAACTAACTAATTTAATAATTTTAATTGACATAAACTGATTTGATGGTTTAACTAAAAATTTTATCTTCACTGTATCTTCGCTGCGCCTCTTCTAGTGTGTACGCGGCGCTTTAGGGTAGGTAGGTACTTCAATAACTTACGTAGATACTAGAATAAATTCTACTTTGAAAGTAATAAGGCTAGTAAAAATAGGCAAGTAAAAATCGCGTCATGTCGGGATTCCAATCATGTCCACTATTAATAGTGACCAATAAAAGAGATCGGTGATATAACGGAGCCGGAGGTCTGATGCTAGACCGAAATATACGTGGGGGCATATGAGGGGTACCTAGCAGTAGGAAGGGGGTGAATTAGGTCACGGATGCGGGCTCCTGACACGAATAGCGGTGGCGCATCTCGGCACGTGGCCTCGAGCCGTGTCCCTCTCGAATACTCTCAGTATATTGTTCGAGTGGTAACCTTACGATGTCGATAATAAACGTTGCAGATTAAAGAATCAATTTGCTGCTTCTAACTGCCAAATCAGAAACTTATTAGGGATGGCTAAGAAGGAGGAACTCGATGGCGTTAATGGTCAGCGTGTTTTGTCTAATGTGGTGGAAGAACTTTTGCATTGGCCGGTCAATAGATGGGTGACCAAAAATTTTCTAACTCGAACTCCTCCGTGTTTCGAAGGAGACACGAAGCCCTTAGCCGCGTCCGCATACGCACGGGGCCGCGTGGTGGCCCAATGGAGTTAATGTGGGGCTCCTCCACCACCATTCTGCTCACTGACTCATCCAGCCCTGTTACTGGCTGAACGGCTGCCTTGTTTAGTTTTTTATACGCGGCTCAACAAATTATCTCAACCCTTCATGTTAAGTATCAATATGCAGCAGGGCACTTGCAAAGATAGCTGATGTGGCTAACAATTTTTTTATGTACGTACGAGGCGCAACAAATTACTCGACCCCACCTGATGGCTAGTGTAAGTGGAGTCTAGTCGCGCAGAAATATAATGCGGTAGAAAGTGTGTTGCTCTTGCCATCCTCACATTGCCCGCCTGGACCCAATCCCCTCCCCGCGGAGCCCTGGGACCCTACTCACCCGAAGAAACACAACACCACTAAAAGGTAGTGTTATTTTACTGTAAAGTGGAGGTTGCTTCCATAGACGGGGCTCCAATTCGAGCGGAAAATCTGCTGTACCCTACATGTCTTGATGTGTCGGTCCAGGAATTCTTGCCTCGTGTTGCTTGTCTGAACCCAATCCTCAGCTCCGTAGAATCCTGAAAATTTATGCACCAACGGACCACAGTGAGGATGTCTGGAGCGACGCACTAATCTGTCGCTTCAAGTATCTTCACAAACACTTAACATCAGATGAGTTGGGTGATTTGCTGCGCCTTAATTAAAAAGTTGTAAGCAGATGGCAGTGTAAGAGAAATGCGGCAATTTTAAGATATGTCCATAGCAAAAAATTATAGCTAATAGTGGACACTCACCATCCTGCTGCTTGATCAAGTAGCTTGATCTAATAAGTTGAGGCTTTAACAGGTCAAATTTACCGTGTGTAGGGAGACATTTTGGTAGGACATGCCACTTGACGGAAATTTTTGGATTGATCAAGCTACTTGATAACTATTTATAAGATTATAGTACCTCATATAATTTATTTACGAGATTGTTACCATCTACTTTGTGTTTAGCGAGTTTCCGATATTTTGGCACTGTTGCAAGCGCCATGATCACGGAGTAACTGAACTAATTGCGGGTAGGCTATTATTTGCAAACATATCGGTCTACCCTTCGACGAATTCTTTTATTGCGTTAGATACCCGTACCACTGTTCACAATCTCAATATTCACTCTATACTCGCTAAAAACAAGGTATATGGTAACAATTTCCTAAATAACCTATATTACTATAATGTTAGTGACCATGAAAGTTTAAAACAATATATTTATAAGATCTTCTGTTTGGAGTCGAGCGCTCATATCGGGGAGTATTGTCTTTGATATCACAAAAGAAGGTTCAGCCAAATAATGATATTATGATGTATTGATTTCCTAATGTTGATGGCTGACGGCTCGTCAGTCGGCGTCGGTCATCGTCAAGTCGACGTTTGCCGCTGGCTGCGAGCCGCTCGTTTATATGAAGTCTTGAGATTTTCGTAGGGTGGCGAGCCGTCCAGATGAACTAATATATAAGGGTATGTTTTTTACCCCTTATTTTAGTGTGAGCAAAAAGT